AGACGGTGGCAGGCAGAAATTGAAAAGAGCGCTTCCGGTTTCATCTCTGTTAGCGAAATTAAAACGCGTATCCGGTTCGAGCCCGCTTATACACGTACTCGCGGAGAAATGAAAACGCGTATCGTTCGTCCATATCGTTTAAGCGACCCATTGAGAGGATCGGACGCGTCAACCGAGCAATTAAAATCCCGTTTCACGCCTCGAGAAGAGGCGACTGTTTTCTGAAAGCTCGACCGTGAAACGATTAATCGTAATTAAAATTGTGAATCGCGACAGAATTTCGCTTGGACGCAGGAGAATTTTTTTAATAGTTCTTTGATGATTGAGAGTATAATTATGTATTAACTGATTTAAAGAAACGAAATTCGGAGTACAAATTGCATGCGAATCTTGTTAGACGGATTATGATTACCTCTGGTATAAAATGAGCTCATAGATCGCAGCAATATTTTCTCTATAAGGGTATTTTCTCATCTTTAATGACATCCGAACAGTGGCGAATTGTTCGCGTGGCTATTTATGGAACCTGGACTTGGTTTCAACCTATTTCAATGTCCGTCATCGATCATTTATTACTTCTTGGATGAGAGAGATATAAATAACCATCGAGCCGATGAATCATTCTTTCATTTACTCAATGCTGACTTTGAATTAATTATATTAAATGTTTAGGTTCGTGGATATCAAAGAGCGAGTATATTGATAAATGAGAAAACACATTTAAAGATGCAACCACACTGAATCATTTATTACCAACTGGAATTATATAAGCGGTATTGGAATTCTTTAAAAACGCAAACAAACGGTTCTGTCATTCGGTTACCGATACCCTTAAAAGGGCCGGAAGGTAGGAAAGGAGAAGTGGTCCCTTTCGCGGTCTGGAAGTCCAAACAGAAGCGTCTAACTTTTTCGATAGCCGGAAAGGGGGGGGGGTCGTTACCCTTTCAAATGCGGAAGCGTTTCGTATGATCTGCGCCTCCATCGTCAAAGTAAAGTCCGAAATCCGGCGGGGATGTATGCATTGGCCCAGAAAAAAAGTTTTCGCCGTTAGGTGGCGAGGGATTAAAACGAGAGAGAGAGCGCAGTGTCCCGTTCCGAATTTATCCGCAGGGTTAGAGCCGTGAAACCTCGGGGCCTCGAAACTGTGCGAAATCGTATTATCCGATGAATATGCAGCGCGATTTTGCGGTCGAAAGTTTTCGGTTCCGCTTGTAACCCGCAGCGGCGACGCGGCGTCTCCGGCAAGAGCCGCGATGCGACAGGAGTCAGCTCTCAGTTCGAACTCGGATCTCCCGACGTATTCTAATTAGCAGAAAAACGGAGAGGAAAGGCCTGTGTACACTGCTGCTGTCCCTAAATCACACCGAAATCTGCGTTCGGCTTAATTGGTCGGTTTCGTTCGGCAAGAAATCACCGGTCGGGAATTAATTAGGCATCGGTCCGGCGATTAAGTCAAATTTAATTGGGCAATTCCGTCCGCGAATTGGCCGGCCCTGAGTTGACGCAAGAAGCCTCGTTATCTCGGGTATAATTGGTTTTCTTAAATCAGTGGCTCTCCGTCTATCGTTCACAGAGATTCAGTTTCCATGGTGAACCGAACGGGAAATTAGATCGCGGACGTAGCCGACGGGCAGATGTCCGATGATCAAAAGTCGATCGAATTATCGAATCGCGCCCGGGTTCGGCGGCCAGATTAGCTTGATTCTGAGTGTACGTGGATAACTGCCAATCCTGCTCATCGACCCGATTCAAGTTCCATCGTTTCACGAAAATGATCGGCTTTCTTGTCGCGACAACATGTTATTGGCTTCGCCAGGTATCTCTGATTCCGGCTCGATTGCGTTGACCGTTGATTGAAAACCGGGAAAAACGTTCGCGCGTCCCGTGTCGTCGTTCGTGATCGTTTCGATCACGGAGTTAACGATTTGAATTATTAATTCGAACGAAATAATCGACAAAAGACGTAATCAAATCACTGAGTCGTTTCATTAAACAACCAAATTAGGGGAAAGAGAAGAAAAGAAAATGTAATTGCAAACGATAAAATTGATTTATTTCTCATATTTCGCCACCGTAGCAAGACTGGAGTATATAGAATTATATTTCACACTAGATGGAATTCCCGGGTCGCGTTGCAATATCAGGATTCATTCTCAGGTAATTTATCGAAATTTCTGTACGTTGTACCAGGTAAGCGGGTAATACCGGGGATCCCGGTATGATAAAGGGAAAATGTGTAATGCAGGCATAAAGAATGCAGCGTAGGGACCGCCCACGACGACATGTAGGTTGCCAGAACGAAATAGGTTCTTAGATAATGTACCGTAACAATATCGAGGAGGATGTTATTCTGTTCTTGAAAAAGCTCGCCGTTGATAAGATTTATCATCCATTGCTTCAGAGAATTTAACTGTTTTTGGTTATCTTCAAAGTAGCCTCGTGATATATGTAAAACGTTGATTACACAAATTCCGAGACGCGTATTCACTTCGGTAAAAATGGATGGACCACGAAAAGCAGTGGGAACAAGTGAATATCACGAAATGCGTGCAGATACTATATTTACTGAGCATGGTGAAAAGGCGTGAGAAGGGGTGGAGCTCGAGGATAACTTGCTCAAGGATTTCTTCTTCGAGTCTGCAGCTGTTTCCTCCTACCCTTCCCTTCATTAGAATTCTTGCTGTCTCGTGTTCAGGTGTGTTTGCCACATTCATAAATGTTATAGCGCTCTCATTCCTTAAATTCAGTCTGCCAGTGGGCGGCTTGCGAAAAGCTGATATTTGACGAAAATCATTCTTCGGACGCCTGTTCGATTAAATATCTCCAATGTGATTTAATTAATACGATTTCTTAGTCGGTGTGGTATGTTTTATGAACTGTTTCTAAGATTTACGAAGGTGGGTGTATGTAAATATGTACGTATGCGCTGAATATGTTTGCACACTCGCCTCGAGGCGAGTGCCGGATCATGCAAGGAAATCCAGAATTTCCAGTCAGGGTGAACGACGCTCGATTTCTCCTTTTTCCCCCCCTGCGTCTGTGTGCGCGGCGAAAATATCCAGTAGGCAATTAAGTTTACGACGTTGCACGTCCACTCCTCGAATGGGCTGCAGACATTGAGTTAATTATAAAACAGCAGTAATTCTTCGAAATCTTTTCACGATCGCGATCGCTATTTTGTAATTGTGAAATTGTTCCATAAACTATTTTAACAGAAATCCCCGTTGTTTTAGTGTATGTTTATCATTTAAAGTGAGAAAATGAAACCTTTCAGGAGGAATATTGAATAAATATTTTGCCGCGTAATTGGAATAATCGATGAGATTGCGCTGGGGAACGTTTCGTGAACAAGGAAGTTGTGGATTATTTCACATACACATAGCGAGTTTCATTCTCCTGCACGAATAACTCCAAGATCTTCTTAAAATAAAATTCGTACCGTAAATGATATTCCCCTTTTATCTCATTTTCTTGGATGTTTTGCATGTTTGCTCTTTTGTAACGCGAATTCTGTAACCGGTTTTTAACAATAAATTGCGGTCTGAAACCTTTGATGCCTCTCGCTATCATATCAAGTGAAATTAAACGTTTTTTGTTAAACGAGCCAGGAGATAAATTTATTTCATGTGTCCAGTTAATTCGTATAATAAAGAAACGCGAAGAAAATTCATTGAATTCTACCGAATCGCCATGTCACAATATCAATAATGCTTCCAACTGTCTGATATTTTTATATTCATATCGTATTTATTTATAATATGTAATATGAACTTTCAAGAATAGTCATTTTAATTATTCAAACTACCGTCACAGTATAAGAAAGAACAGTAGGTACACTCTATCAAAAAGTGTATTAATAATTAGCTTTTGCGCATCACAAAATCGGTACAACATTCCGTCGAATCAGCAAATTTTTCAACAATAATTTCGGTTTTCCTCAAATACTTCTAAAGCACTGGAATAATTATTTCGTCCATCATCAAACATTTCTTAACGAGTGGAGTTAAAAGGAAATTGCATGGAACCTTTTTTTTATCTGACAACTACAGATACATACCAATAATAAGTTTGTACAATAATAACAAAAACGAGTCTGTTTAACCCATGATCTTGTAATATACATTGTATAAGATCGTGGTTTTAACTTTCAAATTAAAGCCCGCGCATAACTACATGGCGAATCTATTTGTTTTGAGATCATAGGAGCCGACACCGTGAATGAACTGACTGTTCTTATATTGTACTACCGTAGTAAGTTGGCGCGTAGTAGTTGGCGCGTAGTAGATTTCCAATATGGCGTCGACAGTGAGGAGTGGTGACATGTGTTCCTGTACTTTTTAACATTAATCAGTAATAATCGATTTCATAGTACTTTATCATTACTAATCTTTGTTCAAATAGAAGCAGTAGTGCCTGTGATATAATCGCGTTGAGTATTTGTGTAATAAATGATGAAAAATAACTGATTATATATCTGTGCTCGCGACAAGACCGCTTGACTGTTTCAATAGTAAGTCTATTGATCTTTATTTCATTATTAAGTAATACTTTGCAGTAGTGTCTATTGCAAATTCGAGTTTGTGCTTCATGTCACGATTTTTGATTAACGAATTCGATAATTCGACACGTGATAATTCCATTTTGATTCTCGAATTCAACAAGGTTATCACATTTGAGAGTTCGATAATCATAATCCTGAATGAAATGAATTTATATTCCTATTACTTTCTTGTTGCTTTGGGTTTTGTCAATCATACCTAAGCTTAGGTTTAAGATATAGTATAAAGAATGATTGATTATTTATGAGCATTATTATACACCCTGAGTGTAATTTTCCATTTTACGAAATACACTAAACTGTATAGGAAGTTTCTTTTAATAATATTAATATCTCTTTATTTCAAACGTCACGTAAAGGCTAAGTCTACGTGACGTTATCAACTCGTCGTGGCAGTTTGGGAATTATATTCGTAACTCTTGTTCGATCTCGTTTGTTACAGAGGTTGCAGTGGTCCAGCACCGCGGCGCATCGCGAACTTTGTTATCTGAAAGGACGCAGCGAGGACCAGTGTCAGAATTATGTACGAGTGTTCGGCAGACAAGGGCCTGATCGATTCCTCGTTTGTGGAACGAACGCGTACAAACCGCTGTGCAGGCAATTCACCATCAAGGTAAGCGCTTCAGGCTCGTCTTTAAAACCGGTGCGGTATACTCGTTTGGCCAAGGCCATCCGACGCGTAATTCCTTTGCTGCAAACCGCCTGATTTCACTTCGATGTTCGACCATCGTTTTAGTAAATGTTGCGTAGACTATAGAATTCTATTTAACAAAGTTAAAGAATGTTTTAGGAGTTGATTTAAAGAACGTAAAAATATGAAACCAATGAATTTCTAAATCATTACTATGGTGGCTTCTGTATAACCGAAATTCGAACATCGAAATAATATTGCATGTCTAGAGACCAACAATTTTTTACATGCAAATGCATATAATATGATCTGCATCAGAGATGAGTACAACTGAATTTTATTCCTGAAGTTCATTAAACACAGATAGTGATTTGTTAGTTAATTAGTATTATTGTTGTATGAAATGCATTAATTTTCGACTGGCGAGCATGATTCTACCAGTTATGAATAATATTCATTAAAATATTGCTTATTCGATGCTCATTATGGTATGTATAATAGACTCATTACATCCTGTTTCCATTTCTGTTCTAATGAATCGAATTAATATCAGTGTCAGTTCTTATAGAAGATAATGATTGATAATAATGATGATGATGTTGAAACATAATTAGATTTAAATGATTGACTGGATGTCTAGTTTACTTAAATAATGCTCATCTCTGATTGACATTCAATCTATAAATATCGAATAATCCTAAATATGATTAGAGATGTTTAAAACTAACAAAGTGAAACTTGAAATCTATTATTATGATTTTATGTAAATGCGAAATTAGATGTAATTCATGCAATTCATGAAGACGATAATTACACCTTTCACTAGCGATGTTAATGAGCGAGCTCGAAGACGACGTGTCAGTTCGTCTTCGTTTGTTTATTTAATACCTAAATGCGCACGTGCGAGGGTGAAGTCGCAGAACGCGAGAGGAGAGGGTAGCGTTTTAGCAAAATTGCCACGGAGAGGTTGCAGCTGGAGTAAACGTGACGGCAAATAACGTTAGGAACGTAGAATTTGCGAATAATTTATTGCTCCGCGTTAAATATTGACGCAACAAACAGAACGCGTAACGCGGTCACAAAATGGGATAGTAATAAGTGAGAATTATAATTTGATTCGCGTCAGACAGCCCTAACTTCGGTGCTAAGCACGTTTCATCGTTCTTCACCTTAACTGAACTTTAACATGAACGCAATTTGGTACCTCCAAGAACAATTTGCCAAAATTCGAATTGGAACGGTATTTATAGAAGTTTCTTTTCTCCTTGCGTGCTTGAAATTTATTTCGGCTCCAGTCGCTTTTTAACTGTCGAAGTTTCAATAAGACGGTTGATGTGTTCTTCGGTTGGAAAGAGAAAGGTAGACATTGTATCGGACTTGTTGTTGACTTACGGAAAATGCGGGTCGGTGGAAGCTACGCTCTTGCTTTTATGAGGTCTTTTACGGGGTTCGAGTAGACCGGAGTTCCTACCAACTTTTTACTTTATCACGGTGCAACGCTAATACCATATAATAACTCGTAAAACATGGTTAATGCTGCGTCTGTCTGTAATAGTTTACTCCTGGGAACTATCGACCCCCTTCTGTTTTCCATCTCTCAAACCCCCGGATCTTCCACAGTTTTTAATTCGTGCAAATTTTACTTTTTAATGAGACTGTACAAGTTCAAATAATATCGCTATTTCGTTTTGCATCGTATAAGAAAAATAGTAAATCTTGCACGGAAGTACAAAAAAAAATATATCGCGAATCTTTAATAAGAAATATTCGTGTGTGTAACATTTTCGAAGTAAAATTCCTTTAGAGAATGGGATATTTATTTGCGAAGTGAAAAGACTTCAAAGTGGAAATTTATCAAATCAGAACCGCTGATAAATACTGTGTATCGGTATCGGTTCTCTGATGTTTTAATGCAATTATTCGGTACCAGCATGGCGGTTTAATATCATTTGTTACGTCGAATTTTCACTCAGCCGCATTCCGGATATCCGCTATAACAATAAGACCAAAGGAGCTTCAATAGAGGGAAGAGGGACTATAAGACTTTCAAAAGGACTTTTGAAACACAGCCTCCCTTTCTCTCTGAGGGAGACAGGCAGCGCTTTCGGAAAAAGCACGGTTCAGCTTGTAACACACCTTTCCTCTCGCGTTTACAGCCAGCGAATCCTCCCTTTTTTTCTCTCCCCTCTTCCCTTTGTGCAGCCGTTGCTGCTGCTGCTGCTGCTGCTGCTGCTTCGCGTGCTCTGAACAGCACGCCGCTGCCGCGCCGCTCGAAGGCACTATTTTTAATCAGGGATGAAGCTAAAAAGAGAAATTAACGTCGATTTCGCCGATGGGCGTAACAACTTGTAACGAATCTGCTCTCGCGGTTGCTCCTTTTTAAATCTGTCAGCCAGTCGTGTCTGTGGAGATTCTTTTCAGCTCGCCCTCCGAACACTTTACCTGCACCGCGAGCGATAAGCAAACGTAGCTTAAGTATTGCACTTTTACAGTCCTGATCGGATTCTCCCACCAATTTATCGAATTCTATCACTCTTCACAAACTAATTTTATTCCAGTAATATTAAATACCGTTCAATAAGCCAAGTTTACAAATACGATATTCCAAGTTTTCTTCTTTGTATTAATATTATTTTGAGACTGCAAAAAGAGCATTGATATTTCTGCACGTGATTTTAATTCAATGACCATGGACTATAATAGAGACGGTGGGAACGTCGCGGCGCCCAGCGTCTTAATAACGTCGTGAGAACGCGTCGTCATGCCGGTAAGGGCGGATAATGGGCAGAGCGAAAGGGGAAGACGAAAAGTAGCATGAACTCATGATTTACCTGGCTCGCATATCCCTTCTCATGATCCCGGCAAATAGTGAAGGTGTCTTCTTCCTGCTTGTGAACCTCTACTTCTATATCTGTATATTAGATCGTCCCTACGTACGCTTGCACAGGCCTGTGCACCTGTGGTGCAAGGTTTAAGACCTCGCTAAGTGACATTTTAAAGGGAAAAGAGATAAGAGCTTATGTATATGCTTTGATGCATGTTTCGTGGCTATTACGGGAGCTATAATTTTCTGACTACAGGCTTCGCCGGGAATAGAGACGTTTAACTCTATTTTTCTCCCGTAAACTGGCCTGATTTATTCCGTACCGAAAACGGGTTTTTTAAACCCCGCATTAGGTTCAATTATAAGCAGACTCTATTGACTCATGAAAAACAAGATAAGGGAATAATATAAAATCCAGAGTCTCGTTATTATGACCGGAACGTGGTTGCAACAATGGATATTTACGAAAACGGTTTAAAATAAAAGCTTGTAACACGATGCATGCATTGCACCTATTATGTCAGATTACAGTCTCGCGAAGAAAAGAGTTAAGCGGATGAAGGTATTTAAGGCAGTTCTTCTATTATAGGCCAGCGCGCAATAAAAACCGGGGGATTATGGAGAGAGAGAGAGAGAGAGAGAATCGATACGTACAAGATTCTTTGCTTTTCTTGTTCGCGGTCGAACGGTGTTTTTAATTACCTACGAAAGCTTGTTATGGTCTCTTCGCGGTCCAGTTACCGCGGATAATGAAACTGTTATTGTTAGATGGTCAGCAATAATCGTTTGTCATGCGTTTCGTATCGAGTTCATGGATAATTAACATCGATGCGACATAATTTGCAATACATAGAATATTTAGGGGAAACGAGTTAAGCTATGGCTTTGCTGCCATTCATAGAGTCATGGAGACCCTTCACGTTCAGTCACCAAAATTCCTAGTGACGAATAAGGTCGGGTGGGAGCATGTCTCTCAATGACAGGGCGAAAGGAAAGGGTGCAGGCAGGGGCTATCGCGTTGCACAATTACCCGTCCGGTAGTAAGGCGAAGTTGTCGGCATGCGAAGAACGGTCGCACGTGAACCGATATCTGCGAGAGAACTGGAATGGACCCCGAACCGTGCGATCGAACGGCGACGGGTACCAGAACAGAACGGGACGCTTCTCATTCTCGCGTGGGCGTCAAAGTGTCACGTAACGGTCGTTTGCTCGAATGTCTCGTAGGAGTCCTCGTGTAATCAATCGAGGCAGCTAGTAGTATGCACTTCCCTCTGCTCCACTCTAACTCGAGACACGAAGTCTTATCGGGAGGACTTCGCTCGATCGTGAACAGTGTCTGCTTTCGGCGCCGTCCCGTCGATACTCCACTCGTCTCTTGGCTGTACCGGAAGTACGATCTCTATCTGCCCTGCACGCACGAGATTCGCACGGGCTCTTATCAGAAAACTTGAGAACGGTTTTTCTCCGTCGGGAATTCGATACCGCGAAACTCGGCAATTGTATTTCCTGGTGGCCTGCCGTCGTTAGAGTCTCGTCCGCTGGCCGAGGGAAACCAAGCCCGGGGATTCCGTGAAATCGATTAATTAAGTCAATACGGGCCGGGATAATGGAAGAACGGAACGAGAGAAGAAAGGAGCGAGCGGCGGAATAGTAAAGAAATTATTAAATGGGAGGCGATTGAAAAGAGTTCCACGGGAAAAATGGAATTATACGATCCGACGGGATAATATCGCGGACCGGCTTGGCTCGAGACCGCGAGAATAAAATCGGTTCAAAATTTAGATGGAGTTTAATCTGATCGACTCTTTGTCTCTACCCCATCGCAGCTTTTAACTTGGACATCGTTTCCGATTTTCGTTATCGCCCTTCAAGACGATAGATTAGTATGTCTGAAGCTGGAGAAATGTCTTATAGCTGAAGAATTAATTGGAAATTCTAATGAATCGTACGAAGTGGATTTTAAATTTATATTCAAATGCTTCCAACTGACGGGTGTAAAGATAACTTGTATTTTCATTTTCTTGATTCATACGTCAGATAAACTATCAATTCGAGACTGAAAAGTGGTACGAACAAATCGGAAAATCTCTAGATCTGCGATATTGGCTCACGAGTAGGTCATGTCTGCTTTGATATTTTATGTCCTCGAAGGAAAAGT